ATAAAAGTATCGGTATCAGCCTAGTTCTGGGAAAAGTGGTGTCGGTGCAACCCCGGTGTAAATCTTGGTCAGAAGTCTTTCTTCGCGGAGTCTTTCTGAAGAGTCTTTTGCAGCACGTAGTGATCCATGTTTGTGTGTTTGTGAAGGGTTTTCGGGGAACTGTATTGGCTGTGGTGAGAAAGGGTTCCGCTACTTCACTGAGTTCTCCAACCACATCAACTTGAAGTTATCCACTCAGCCGAAGAAGCAGAAGCACTTAAAGTACTACCTGGTGAAGAACTCTCAGGGTGCTCTGTGCAAGGGAACCCTCATCTGCTGGAAAGGTATCACACTTACATGCAAAATGCCGCAAGGCATAGACAGTGGACTGTTTTAAAGTTTTGATGCTGTTCATCATTTAAATTAAGTACTTAGCAAATGGATTAAGATGTTGTATTTCAAGATGTTTTCCAAATTGAACTACCCTTTTGTTATATTTAACTAACTAAATAAATAAAAAATAAATTTTTGTTAAATATTTTGCTACATTTTATACTAAAGTTTATTTATTCAAATTGTATTTATTAAAAGTTAAAATGTCTCTGATTAATTTAAATATCTATTTAATTGATAATTCAATAAAAAAATTTAATTAATAAATTGATAATTAATGATCATTTACACAGAATTATTATTTTTTTTTTATTTACACAGAATAAATTATTTACACAGTATACATACAATTATTTAAACATAATTTACACATTTAAGTATCATTGTTTTATTTAACAAAAAAAAAAGTTAAGTATTTTTGCTACATTTCTAAACATTAAATAATGCAAAATATTAAACGTAACAAATTAAGTGAGTCTGTTGGATTGGAATTAAAATGTATTTGCAATTGCATATTATATTGTAAATTAATACATTGATAATTAACGATTTCTTCCATGAAAGATACACTATTTACACAGAATACATACAATTATTTATTTACAAAATTAATTATCATTGTTTTATTTTTAAAAAACACTTTTTGTTAAGTATTTTAAGTATTCTTGCTACATCTCTAAACATTAAATAAGGTCAAATGTTCAATTAAATGTCTGTTTAATTGCAATTTAAAAAAATTAAATTAATACATTGATAATTGATGATTTATTTCATAAAGGTTAAGATAAATTATTCACAGAGAATATATTGTACAAAT